AATCATACCAGCAATGGGTCTTGCTCGCTGATGAAAGGACCAGGAGTGGCTGGATCAAGTTAGCTACCTAGCTAGTAGCAAGCACGTTAGTTAGCATTACAGCCTTAGCCTTGTTATTTGTATTAGCCTTAACATGAAGTAACATTAAGTAACCCAAAATGTTAAACAGTAAGAGTAGTAGTCATATTTCGTGAACCCTTTGAAGAGTACTGTCACACCGGTGTGATCATTCTATAATACACCGTTTAAGCCCGGATTCCCCCGGGGGAGAAATGCTAACGCTAACAGTACATTAGCATCTGCGATCTTTTCTACTTCATGCTATCTGCACAAATGGTTAACATTGAACATTAAAAAGATCAGGCAGTTCAGGGAGAATCGAAGGGAGGAAGGCAGGCAGGTAGCTTTGCATGACATTCTTCTGGACGTGTTTCATTGTGGTGATAGTGAGGGAAGTCAATCCCTTTTTTGGCAAGACAGTAGTGACGGCCATCTTGGTGACGTGTGTTGTTGTGCGAGAACAGAGATGTAATTCATTGAGCGGTTTCACACAAAAAAAGTCTTACTTCACAGTTTTACGGCATTTTTTTTTAAACTTGCAAAATTATCTTTTAAATTGACAAACATTATATGTGTAATTCGTGGCACAATTCAAACGGGATCGAAAGATAAGTTTTCTCTCGCCATTGACTTCAATACATAATTTTTCCGAAATAAGGACCCATGGAGGAAAGGGAGGGACTTTGCCTCGTTTGCCATAAGTATTTTCGCGGAAACACGAGCAATCTGTCCATCAGCTGGCCAAAAGGCATCATATTCATACGGAGAAATGCACCGTTTTCAACTTCCTTAACTCAGAGTTCTGTTGCCCCAATTACGTGTAAGGTGGGAGAAGTACTCAGATCAAGTACTTAAGTAAAAGTAGTATACTGCAGGGTAGCTTGTGAATTTACTCCAGGTGTAACTAAAGTCTGATTTATAGGTACCATGTCATGCTTTTCCGGTTATAACCCGTCCCCTTGTGTGTTATGAAGGTTTTTATGCATGTAAACGGTCTGCAAAGTCACAAACCCTCAAAGTACACCCTGTAGCGAGTACAACTCTAACACAGAAAATACCTGTCTATGCTGCCCCAGAACGCCTCGTTGGAGATTTCTCTTTTTCTTCCTGGGTACAGTGACGTGCCCATACCCAAATGGACCAATCCGTGGAGCCGTTACGTTACGTCCGCGGAGACTTAACCTAACCTGGCGTGCGACCAACAACCAATCACATTAATCTCCTGCCCCGGACACACAAGCACACGGTTTGATTGGCTAGAGCTTGTACTGGCATATGATTTGATTGGCTGGCGCTTCCGTTGACGCTTGAAAAGTTGAAGTTTTCTCAACTTTCGAAGTGAGCAACGGAGGCAAAGCGACGCGACGGAACCACAATGCAGTTCGGCAAAGCGTGACGTCACCCCATTCAAAGTGAATGGGAAGCGTCTCCGTTGAAGCACGCAACGCTGCCGTGTGGACGTACCGTAACAGATAACAAGTAACAGGGTTTATGTAATCAAGATACAAAAAAAAGTAACTGTATTCCCTTACAGTTATATAAAACAAACACGTAATCAGATTACTGTTACATTTCCCTACATTTTGGGATTACAATGTAACAAAAGAAAGACTTTAGTGGGTACATTTCACCATCTACTGTATGTTTTAAACACAAATGGAGAATTTTCTGATCGAAAAGAAACAGAGCCGAGAACACATTTTCTAAACCTAATATATTTTTCTTTGTTCTCTTGATCTATAAATACACTTTTAGTATTTATTTGCATTGATATTAAGGTAATCCAAAAGTAACGGAAAGCAATCAGGTTACATTACATTTATATTGTGATGCTTAGATTAGGTTACTGATTAAATTAAAGGATCACATTTTAAGAGTAACCCTCCCAACGTTGATTGTAATAAATGTATACCGTTTGTTTTTGGCACAGACATTGATATATACATATATGCAAATTATCCATTTTTCTTATGCAACACAATAAAGTGGAAGTCACACTTGTTCTAAAAATAGACGTTCAAAAGGTTCACTACTACCTAATAGTCTGTATATAGATCAAATTACAGGCTGGATAAATAAATGAAAATGCACAAACACGAAGTATCACAGCTCAACCAGCTACTCTGGGCGGGGAGTGTTTATTCCACCGACAGAAACTCTCCTAGCAGTCAAATCTTCATACTGCATTCCTGATTCTTGCAAATAATCACACTGTGTTGCTAAACCCTTTGTGAGAGGGGATCATAGGTTCCATACTTAAATGGGAATGAGGCTCCACTAAGGGTTTCATGTCGCTGTACCCAATTGTCCTGTGCTGAAATGAGATTTGCAAAAACAGAACATTTACATGTAGGCAGGGTCTGGAAAGTAACTAAGCTCAGTCATTAGTACTGTACTACTTCAACTCTACTCCACTACATTTATGTCACAGGGATAATGACTTCACTTGATGTTAGAGCGTTTACCAATGATGACTGATTACATTTCTTGTTAGAAACTTTTTCTTTATTCATTTAATGGCGTCCTCTGTAGCACTTTGAATAGAAGTTCTTAAAGGAATACTTCACCCACATAATGATCAATTTTTTACCAAGTATGACCTTGAATTCTTGAAGAAAAAACTGTCAGTGGATTAAGAAGGAAGACATGTCTTGGTGAATTTATGTACAGTAAAGGGGGGCCATCTGCAAAACTATATTTACTACAGTTTTATAGCTCTGTTAAGTGCCTTCATAACCTAAAGCATTCATCTGTTTGCATCTTACAATTTGTTTATAACTACAATAAACAGTATTTTATTTTACTGTACAATATTTAATTTTACATTCTGTTCTTGTCTATCTTATTCCGTATACATATGTATATAGACTCCTGCATCTACTTGGTCACTTACAACATTCTCTGCAACATTTAGCTTATTGTTTTTCTTTTTTGCCGACAGGTTTGTAGTTTACTTCATCTGCATTACTTGCAGATTGGTCTCGCAAACATACTCTTTTATTTGATGTTATTGTTTTATGTCTAATATATATTATATTTAATTGTTGGGGGAGTTTGAGATGATTTCATTGCCATATATACACTGTAGCTACTCTGCATATGACAATAAAGCCTTTGATTGATATCAAAATATTCAAACTCTCGCGTAACATTTACTTTTAATATTCCTCTAAACTACTTTTGCTTTAGCACTCAACTTGTGTACTGAACCAGTGACCTTCCATCACAAGCCAGCGTTGCTAAGCTCCTGCTTCCCAAAGATCCATGTCAAACAAAGGGGTGTGAATCTGAACGGCGTGATTCATGTCAGGCTGTAAACAGCTCCAGCATCTTATCAGGCAGCTCATCTGACACTCTGTCCGTCAGCAGCAGTTTTATCTCATCTGCTCTGATATTTCCATCACAGAGGATCTGCCGTGTTTTTACCAACACACGCTGTGTGTAGGGCTGAACGATTAATCGATTTTAAATCGAAATCGCGATTTTAAATCATGCGATTATCAAATCGCAAAGCCTGCGATCTTTTTATTTTATTTAATTTTTTATTTAAAAAAAATCATTATTGTGTGTCAGTCATCCACACCAATCAGAAGTGTTGTGCTCCACATGTACCAGCCATTGTTAACCAATCAGAAGTGGCCCATGATAGAAGGTGATAGACAGATTGATCCAATCACCTGCCAAGTATTTTTGAAATACTTTTCCAAATGGCTTCCAATGGAGCTTTGCTAGATGGTTTGGTGAAACAAACCATCTGAGTCAGGTTAGTAATGCTCCATCACATGTTTTCATCTATTACAGGGTGAATCTTAAACTGAAGCTTGACTTTAAAGCAACCCAACGGAAGTTTCATGTAAGTTTAGTTCTTTCACTCGTAGCTCGGGCTGCGGGGGTGCTAGAGACGGGAGCACGTTGATACGACCTTCCTAGCCGGAGATATGGCCGCATTTTACAATAAAGTTCCGTTGGGTCGCTTAAAAACAAATATCGCAATCGCAATATCTGTCAGAAAAATCGCAATTAGATTATTTCCCCAAATCGTGCAGCCCTAGCTGTGTGACCATCAAAAACAGCCAATAACCTCAGATGAATGGAGGGTGACTCAAAGTTCACTGAGCTGCATCGTGCTCGAGCAACAGGAGCTATTGATCTGCTGACTAATACCATTTTTTTTACCGTTTATCACCAGTAAAGCTGCATCTATTTTTAGAAGTATTCATCACCCGTGCCTTTTCATACTGAAGCTGACCCCAGAGCAGAGTCATTTAATTAATCTCCCATCAGAAAGCTGAGTGGGCTCAAACGCCTTCTTTTCTTCCTGATCTAGAGTTTTCAGGTTGGGACCAGTCTTGTGTTTAGAGTTTAGCATTAGCTCTCTGGCATGCTGCTGGCACCTAAACACGATGATTACAAATCTGTAATCCCACTGGGCTTAATGGGCTCCTTAAACTGGGTATTAGGGGAGCAGCTAAACCAGGTGATTGTCTGCACTTGGCTCCATGGACACAGGGAACACAGATGGGGACACAACACAATAACAATGCATAAACAAGTGGACATGCATAAAAACACAAAGGGCTATATAAAAACACGCATGTATAAATCCAGTGTGTCTGTAACACTGTGTGCCTTGCATCACTGTTTCCATTACCTCTGTGCCACAGTGGCTTTAGATCCGCAGTGAGATGACAGCTGGGTGAATGATGTGTCTGCTAACACTGTAATATGCCACTCTAACTCCTCAATGATGGCTGAAAAAGCTACCTGAGGGCAACCCAATACTGCAATATAAATGGGAGAGAGATGCGAGCTGTCCTCTTACTTTTAGATAAAAACCTGAGAAGTGTGAGACTGAAATGAAGATGCAAAGGACAGCAGGGTGTGAAAGTAAAAAGAGCCCGACTTGTATTTGAAGGAGGGCTCTGGCCTGTGATCCCTACCGGATAGCCTTCTGTTTTCTTCTGGCACCACTTCAGTAGTGCGTTTCTCTTAGATCCTCCATACTCCCGCGCCAGTGCAGCCAAGGGGTCCTTTCTTTCCACACTGTCACGAGGGAAACGTGAGAGAGAAGGGGGGGTTACAGTATGTCATTCGGAGAAAGATAAGTGTATAGTTTGGCTACCCCATAAAACTGTTATTATCTTCCCATCTTTACACAGATTTATGCATATAGACTTGAGGTTAGCTTAATAAACACTGTGATTATACAACAACTGTAGGTAGTTACTCTTTTCATAAGAATGTGTTCAATTAACTAACATGTTTCCAGCCAAATGTAGGAATCAATTTGACCATGTGTGACATTATGGACGCATTAAGTGGCAAGGAAAAAAAATAATATTCTGGCGATTTGTTTATTCCTGGCTAAACATTTTTTCACTTGTATCAGAGTCAGAAAACATAGAGAAAACAATTAATCAGCTTTAGAAAATGCATCACCAGAATGTGTATCTGATGGCTTCCCCACAATCAAGATGCAAAGTGGCTCTGATGTTAAAAAAAATGTTTCGTTCCAAGAATATTTTATATTGGCGCTCAGGGACCAATGGGAACGTTCCACATGCATAATGTACTCTTTGTTATTTTTATAAATATAATCTTTTAGATAAGCAAAGTTAAAAAGGAGTACTCTTTACACACAAAAGGGAAAACAGCTCAAAACAACCTTACACTGTAGTTGTAGAAGAAGTTTTCTTATCCTTTAAGTAAAAAGTAAAATACTTGTTTGAAAATGTTACTAATGTAAAGGTATGAAATACAATCAGTTATGTCATTAAAGTATTTAAAGTTAAACTACTGAATGCAGAAATATTTCCCATGTGACTGTTATACTAATATATGTTAAATCATTAAATACCTTACGTAAAAGCAGGATTTTCTAGTGTGATAAAGAAGAAAGTGGGATGAAGATAAAACACTTAAAATGCGACAAATTTAAACGGCCAGAATACCAGTTTTTGTGTCACTATACTTTACTTGGCCGGTTGTAGCTTAACGACGGGCCAGAGCACTCACTCATGTGAGCATATGTTCTCTGTAATGAAAATTAAAAATGTCCGCACACAGATCCAACCTCTCAGACAAACATCTTGCCTCCATTCTGAAAATGGCTACAGTTCAGGACTTTCAGCCAATAATTGATGGCTGAAAGATGGCTCATAAGATGAACTTATGAACATACTGTATGTCAGGTGCCTGGTGGATGGAAGTAGGCCAATCTATGTGAATAAATAGCATGTCAACATTGAAGCCCATATGTAGAACTATGAGTTAAGCAGCATGTGGGTTTTGCTTGAGTGCAAAGACTGTGTGTGTTTGTTTTATGTGAGGCAGATTGAATGCCAGAAGGCAGAGATGTTTGAGAAATGTAAACATGATCAAGCATGTTTTCCTATTTTTATTAAAAGTACCACACAACCATTATGTAAGGCTAACATCTCACAACTTGTAGCAATATGGGAATATTTTCTGTAAAATAGTTTGTTTGAGTTACAGTAGCTGTATGTATGTAAATAATCAGAATGTATTATTTTTGCTCAACTGATTGCGAGCCAAGCAAACATTGTGTTGTTGTTTTAAGGCTCATGTGGACCTAATGGTTTGTGAGGAGGCTTTATAGAACATACAACAATATAACCAAATATATTTTATTTTTTGATGAAATAAAATCATTGCAAAAATGTCATATGGCTGGTCCTTGATGTGATGCTCATTTTCCAGTGTGGAACAAACCAATTTTCCATGATGGAGAAAAATGAAAATATGTACTTGTATTAAAGAATGAAAGTTATCCATTCATACCATTCTTTGTTCTTATTCACTTTACATGTAATCTGTAAATGCTCCCTCTATGAAAACCATCAGCAAAGTGAACTATTTGATCTTGTATTAACATTACAATTCAGTGTATTTGTGTTAGCCCAGAGCTGGCTCAAGATTACTGTGGAGGGAAGCCAACAACATACCGCTCAGTGTACACTTTGGCTTTAAGTGAGGGATGTCAAGCATTAGCACAGGCTTTTCTTTTTTGGCATTAATTCCTCACTTTCTTATTTTTCATTTTGAACTCCATGTTTCCATGCTCATATATTTATTTACAGTATATTGATTGCACTGTTATAAGACACAATTAAGAGAGGTACAACGAATCTGTGAAATGTTTATCTGCAGTTATTTTTTTACAGAGGATCTGCTCCCTGGGGTTTGTGCTGAGTGCACGACACGAGGCACGGTCGTTGCTCTGAGCACGGTAAACATTTCACACGTCACGACAGCTCTGCTGTCAAATTCATTAGTCCTCTGTTCAGCGCAGTGCAAGGCCAGAGGCAGCAAGACCCTGTCCAAACAAATACTGCAGGGGCGGGGGGGGGGAGAGCAGAGATGGAGCAGCTATATCATAACCCTGAAATCATACCAAACACTGTAATGTACAGATGTGCTGTTGATGTTGTTAAAAAGGCCTGCCCCATGATCTGCATTACAGAAACACATAATATGTCAATATGTGAGAGGGTGGGTGGATGGATGGATGGATGAACGGATGGATGGATGGATGAACGGATGGATGGATGGATGGATGAACGAGTGGATGAACGGATGGATGAACGGATGGATGGACGGATGGATGGATGGATGAACGGATGGATGAACGGGTGGATGAACGGATGGATGAACGGATGGATGAACGAGTGGATGAACGGATGGATGGACGGATGGATGGACGGATGGATGGATGGATGGATGGATGGATGGATGGATGGATGGACGGATGGATGGACGGATGGATGGATGGATGGATGGATGGACGGATGGATGGATGGATGGATGGATGGATGGATGGATGGATGGATGAATCAGTGGATGAACGGATGGATGAACGGGTGGATGAACGGATGGATGGATGGATGGACGGATTCTATTTCAGAAACGTTTACAAACCTAATACAATAAAGCATAAAATGATCTGCAGATTAGTTAACCTCATCCAACTAAAACTAAAAAATAAAAGCCTAATAATAATCTAAGAATTTAATATAGCAATAAGAGTCACTACATCATTTTACTAAAGTAACATTTTCAAAGGCTGACCTTACTTAAAATATATATATATTATTTAATATATAAATATCACTTAACGGTGTGGTTTTATTAATTTTTATTAATTAAAGGATCCGAAAAACGTATTCTGCCAAGGACAATAACAATGTAAATACAGATGGGTGAGGAGGAGACAGCTCATTAATATGATGGTAGCAGAGGGAGAAGAGGAGAGGCTGGACAAACAGGTTCCAGATTCCTGATATCTGTCAGTACAGTGTTTGATGTCATTAGTAGGTTGAAGCTGAGGGTGTTGTCCAGAGTGATGACCATGTATTTGATTGCTTAAATCAACTTTACTGAGTCTCTGTGACTACATGTAAATGTAAACACTGCGTCATCTCCCTCTAATGCAATTTGTTGCAGTGGTACCATGGGTCTGGTAATGGAGTGCTGCTATTGGTTTCTGAGTGCTCACTTAAGGGATTGTTTTACAGTAAAATGACAAAAGCCTGTTTGCCAGAAAGGTCAGAAGATGAAAGCATGTTTGTTTAACATCTGTCTCCCATTCCTTTCTGATAAGTGGACACTTCATTTACTATGTGTAAAAACTCTGTGTCAACACCTTGGCAATACAAGTTGGACAACTGCAAAGTATCTCAGTTAAACTTTAAAATGCAATTGCAGTAGAATATGTGGTTACCTTAAAGGGAAACAAGGCTGCTGAGTCAAATGTGTATTAACACTATAACCTGTTGTCAAAGATGTCAGAGGGGAACTTGTTTAAAGAAAAAGGAAGAACTGAAACTGTGTTTATGTACAGTGAGTCATTGTTGCACTGCCTGTTTTGTTGCACTTGTTTGGTTTGTCAGTGATCTGTGTTAAAGACCGCACAAATTAAGAATTAACTTCACACATTTCAGTTTGGAACTCCTGTGAATTTCTACAATCATGTGGAGAAGTCATTATATTGTGTTCATTTCCAAAGTGAGGGAGGTTGTTTCCCCACTTCGAATGAAACCGCGTAGCTAAACAAGCAAAATGCCCTAAAGTAAATCCCATAAACACCATTTAGCACACCTCAGCTTGCTGTTTCCTCGGTTGTAGCTGAAGGAGGCTGTGCGGCTGCTGAAGGAGGCAGAAGTTTTGATCACAGACTCCAGAGAAGGGCTCTTCCTCATCAGGCTGTTAGGTTTCAGGTCCTCCCCGCAGCCCGACAACTTATCTGGGGGAGTGAAGGATGCAGGGGAGAAAACTTGAAGAGGAGGGATCATAATATATATAACATGGAAAGCAAATTCATCAGTGGTAACTTTAGGGCTGATTTAACAATAGTATGACTCTGTAGTCCAGGTGTCCTGCTGGGGTCACTTTCTTTGTTAGGCTAGTCCACAAAATATCCAAAAATGCTCTGCCCAAGGGCCTCTGTCATACCTGAACAAGCCCTTCCACACAAAGATATGCTTGAAAAGTTATTTTAGCTTCAGAAAAGGCAGATGGAATCAGTGATGCAACCTTTTCACCTAAATATGGCAGTACCAGTGTTTCTGTTAGCCAGTATTTACCATGGTTTGACCAAAAGATTTTGTTCTGACAAATTCAAGTCACTCCGATCATAATGTCTGGTGAAAATATTTAGACCTAAGCACAATTTGAGGTGTATTTAAAAAAAAAAAAAGGCTGTCAGCACCAGCCCCTCTTATCAATGCCACAAGCGCAAACAAGATGCCACCTCTGTAATTACAGGCACCAACATCTGCCCGGACATGTTTTTCTAACGGAAGCACTTGGCAGTCCATTCAAAATCATTTATATTCAGTGCTTTGGTGCTCAAGTTACAGTCACCTTATTAAGAAAGGAGCTGGAACACCAGTCGATTGGTGATGCAGACATTTGATATAGGGGACTTTATTAAAATGGTAATGGTAACTAAAAAATGAAATTCCCAAAAAGCATAATAATTTTACATGTGTAAGTGTGTAAATGTTATTGGGTAGCTGATTGATATTTCATTTTTAAAGACTTGGTAAATGAAATTAGAACATTAGATTATATTGATATCACCAAAGTAACTGTTAGAATTTTTTTTAACCATTTGAAAATCTAATTTGCATTTGAGATTTCATTTTCAGAATCTCCTCCTTCTGAATCATTTTCAAGTTTACATCATCGTTTTAATAAAGTAGCCTTTGGGATTTCTTTTATTTACAGTGTTTTCTTTCTGAGAATACAATCATGAAACGACAGACAAGAACAACAGCAGTCAAATTACTGTTCATCTTTTCTCCTCTTATTATTTAACTCTGTGTAGACATTTTAGCCTTGCTCATTCCTAAACTCAGCAGTACTCCTGCTGGCTGTCCATTGACTCTAAGGCAGCTAGTGAGTAGACTGCTAAATGAGGTATGTATCATACACATATAAATGAAACACCATGACTTCCAGCTAAAACCATCTCTGTGGTACAGTACATACCATGATGAAGAGAGAATTCTCTATGGTTGATTCTCTTTTCCAATGTCTTGGATAGCGGCTTTATGTACGTCTGTCTCTAAATAAACAGAAACAGAAGAAATATCTCATCAGTCTGAAACAGAGAATAAGTATTTCATTTATTTTACATTTTAAGGAAAGTATGTTGTGTGTACCTGGATAGGGAAGACGGCAGCAGCAGGTGCAGAGCGTACAGGGATCCCACTCAGCAGGCTTCTGGGGCTGGAGTGCATCTGAACTGTGAGGCTGGGCCCATCTGAAGAGCACATACAAATTAAGGATTGTATACAAAAAAAACTGAAATGTGCCATAGTGGAATGTAACTGAACTTTAATCAAATGCTGAACTTTACTTCAGTATATATTTGTAATGATTTCTTTGACATTTTTTGCATTTCTACTCAACCACATGGCAAAGGGAAATATTGAACTTCTTATTGCATTTGTTTCAAAATATTCAAAGGGTAAATAAAAAGATTGAAAACAAATGAGTCAATTAATACGTATATTGTCAGCTTAAAAGTACAAGACAGTCATTCAATTAGTAAATTTGATTTGTTTCAGCTATTAGCAACTTTTTTTGCTGGTCAGTAATTTGTTGGTGTAAAAACATCTCATGGTTCCAGCTTCATAAATTCGAAAATATTGTGAATTTCCTTTTAAAAATGTCATAGTATAACTTGTAATGTTAAAGGTTGGGCTTTTTGTTGTCAGCAAACTTTGGGCTCTAGGTAATTGTACATTTATTTTTCAACATTCCCAGTATTTGTGAAAACAAAACAATCAATAAGGTCAATAATTTAAATATTCGGCAGTTAACTTGAAGTCTTAGTATTTTTACAGTATGGTAATTACTTACAATTAAAGGATAAGGTGGTAGAGGAGAGACTGTCATGATACCAGAGGAAGCTGTATATATTTCTATTTGAGTAACATTTTAACAGTGGTATTTTTACAAGGCACATACGGTACTTTTAGATTAAGTACCCAGCCTTACATCTATGACCAGGGTATATGCAGGAATCCTGAAGTCAAATGTAATACCTTTTAAGACCTTTTTTTAAGACCCTTTCCATACATTTTAAGACCTCATCGCTACTTCGTGTTCTAACCGGTTACATTGGCGACACACTTTACCTCACATTTACTATATACAGTATTGATTGTCCTTCCTCCTTATCTTCCAACCATTTGGACGCAAACTTGCATTTCCCCATAACGATGTTGTTTAACAACCGGCGTAAACGGACCTTCGCGCGCTATCAAGCAGTGAGCGTGTGATGTCCTGTTCAGATGACGTCAAATCCAACGGGATGCCATAAATAAACTACACAGAATCACACTACACACCTACGCATTACGCAATGATTACATTCAGGCAAACTTTAGAATACAACCTTTTTGGACAATTTATATACTTATTGAAAACAAGCTACAAAATGTAATACCTTGGAAAATGCCGTTTAATACTTTTTAATAGCCTTAATTTTCGCTAAATTGATTTATCAACTTTTAATACCATTTAAGATGACATACAGCCATACAGCCTAATGCAAAAAACATCTGCAATAAAATCTACCATTATGATACCTATAATGTTCCCTTTTTGTTTATAGAGGTCAGCCCCCACTGTCTTTCACAACTACATGACTTTGCTGCAGAAAAATAACATGAGTCCACAGTGGAGATCTGACCAGCTGTGCTCCTCTAGAGTTACACTGCTGTGTTGGGATTCCATTTGTGTGTGTCTGTGTGTGTGTGTGTGTTGGGGGTGCTCGCTGCTCACTCTGTCCAACAGTATCAAAGGACTTAATGAGAGATTGGACAGTCGCTCCGGGGTCTGAGTCGGCCTCCCCACTGGCGTCGCTGGGTGTGGTCGGGATCACTGAGATGCCGCACCACTGCCGCTGGATATCAGAGTCGGACAGCCTCACCTCGTCACCTTGGGACCTAACAGACACAGTGAACAGGGTTGCAGTGTAGACAAATATACCATACACACACCTGGGGAAGAAAACAACCCTTTACATGCTTATAAGATAAAGGGAATGTTCCTAAACGTTTGCTCAGGGTATTGGCAGGATGATGTGATCATAGTGACTGTCGACCGTTGATAAGGAGCTACAGATTTCAATTTAAAACACACATTTTGAGCAGTGTAATCATTGGGACACCTCGTACCCATCGCCCTGGTGAACATTGGACTCCAGGCTACAGAGAGAAGGATTTGTCTTTATCAGTGATGAAGGACAAGTGAGGAATTTCAACATTGCATTAAACTTACCTCCAAAGACTGAAAGAGATACACAACCACAGTTGGAACTGGTGTCATTTCATTTATTCATTTGCCTAATGAACAACAGTAAAACATCACATGTGTTCTTTCACAGACATAATAATTGTTTAAGTTGTTTTGTAAAGAATAAATTAACAGCACATTCACTGTATTGTTCATAACATGGCTTTACTACACACAGAGAATTACCTACTACACAGTTAACATATAATTTCTCTAGATGGTATTTTTGAGCAAATTTAAAAGTTGACATTTTCAGCACCAGTACCTTATCATCTGGTAGAGCAATATGGCTTTTAATAAAAATGCACAAATTGAATATATCTGAGAGAAACCAGACTTTTTAACCTGAGATCCTGCAGCATGCAATTATACTACAGCAACACAGAATATGGTGTAAGGTTTTGGCTCAAATATGAAATAAATCCACTGTGTGATAAGTGACTCAAAGTGAGCGAAATCATAACAATTCTGATATGATACATTAATAAGGATGTTGAAAAATCTCTAGATGGCTTTAACACAGGGATTCAAGATTGATCAACAAGTTTAAGTCACTTAATGTTGCTAAAAGTCAAATGCTAGAAAATGAGATCAACTCATCATCTGACAGTGGTGCTGAAAGGGAAACTTAATCCTTTTAGGAGCCTATACACAGTTTTCTTAGTCTTTGTGTTGAAAAGGAACACCAACCTTTTGGTATGTCTGAGTAGAGTAAACAAGTGACTGAGGTACAGCTGTTTGTGTTTGTGGCAGTCCTAAAATCTAATGTTGGCAGTGGTTGATATCAAACTCATCCTGGTTATTTTATCTGGCAGAAATAATTAATACTCTACTTAGAAGGACTAAGGAGCATAGTAATAATCAGAAATACACATACAAAGAGTAACAGAGCAGATGATACCAATAAGTCAACATTGATGTCACCTATGTACAGTTATTGTGTGTTCAATGGTGCCATCTAATGGTTTTATATGACATTGCATTCTGTTTCATTACAGGACCAAACTGAGATCTTTTTTTCAACAGATCATAAATGTTTTTCAGTAAACAGACAGAAGTCAAATTGAAAACAATTTGACTGATACAAAAAAAAGTAAGAAAAGCAAATGTGAGGACCAGCACAATAACATGCCACCTCGTTTTTCTAAATCTAAACAATATCAACCAGACTCAATTTCGCTGTATTGCTATTGCCTTAAAATATGTACTTTCTGATAGAACAAGTCCGACTGTCAGCTCACTTATTATTTATCGAGTCTTTTTCCTAATTTATTACCCTCTTGTTTACAATCTCAAGGCACAAATCAGCTTCACACAGTATGAGAGGAGAGTCTTTCGAACATATGGCATTTCTTTAACACAGGTCAATAAATTGACGAACAAAGAATACATTCAGAAAGAAAAGTACATAATTATTATTTAAAAGGTTCCAAAAGACATGTAGATAAATGGAAGCCAGACCCTGTGTCAGGAGACTGTTTGGGTACTGCATTTACACAATACATTTGAAATGACACAGAAAGGTAATAAGTGCAACATTAACACTGTCTTCACGTGGTGGCGGGCACTTCTCTAGTGACCTTCCACTGCCGTCTTGGTATCAAAAGTGGCTCCAGCGCCTAATCTGAAAAGAAAAGAAGAGGGAAGATGATATAGTGTATGAAGATAATATTAAACATGTGCATGTGCAGCAAAACATGAGATCTTACATGTCTTCTTAACATTTTTCTTATAAAAAGCTCTTCTGGTCACTTCTCGATTTTTAAAACTGTTCCATGCAAACCTCATTGGATTAATAAGGTCACTCATAATGTCTAGTGTTACTTAAGAATCACCCAGTGATGAAGATATTATGCAAATGTATCGTGATGCAGAGCATGAGTTTTATCCAGTCATGCCGTGCAGACCATCCTGCTATTCACCAAAAAAGTAGAAGGGTTATTCATTCGAGTAACAGCAGATGGCACCAGATACATCTTTTTAAACAGTAGAACCAGGCAGAGCAAACCAAAAGAAGGTAAGATAGTCCTGAATCAGCCAGCAAACAGAGGGACACACAGAGTCAGACTGAAGCAGCAACACGAAGCCAAACACAGACAGGAAGTCAGTGAGCAGCAGCAGCAGTAGCACACAGGGAGGGAGAGCAGGCTGGCTGACAGAGGGCTGGCAGGACAGGGGACTCACCTGGACGTTACACAGGGAGGCTTGTCAGAGGGACATCTTTGACAGGGTCATCACAGGGAGCTGCTGGAGGTGGGGAGCGGACGCAGCGCAACAGCTAATCTCGGGGGAAAGTGTGCTGATTTAACCTTGGTCTAAAACCAGTAATGTAGTGTAGTAAATTCCCATGGACCACATGCATTTGACTTTAAACCAAATACAACTATTTAGTACGCCTTAAAGCTCCTATCACGAGATTTTTGCTATAGTGCAACTGAAAAAGTATTTAGAGATCATTGGTTTGCATTAAGGACTATACTGGTCACACGGAAAACCCTTTACAGTAGCAAATCTAAGTGGACTTTGCTACAGGAAGTACTTGACCTGGCATGATAATGAAAAGGGACAAAACTGTCAAAAACACCATGGCATTAGCACGCTCAAAAACACTTATATATACAGAATACCAACACACAATACTCTTTAAAAGTATGTCACATCACTGCATGGCCACAGTTCAATACCACTACATACAATCTTAAATAGCTTGATACATCGGCGTGACATATTGACAGTTACACTGGCCTCTGTTTTGTGTTGCTTTGTATATCAGCTTTTGTCACTGTTTGCCTTCTCATATAATAATAGTTTTATCCAATGAATACACTGATGTTTGGTGTGGAGTGTGAATTGAGAGAATACTATAGGGCAATGCTCAGTGTGGAAGAGGGAGACAGAGAGGGCAGCAGCTTAAAGGAGGAGAATACACAGAGGGAAATACTGCAAGAGACTGCTAATTTACCACCAGAGTCTGCCAAATCCCAGGAATCTCAACTCTAATACTCCAAGGATTTCATCTCGACTTGCGTGAAGCTACAGTTGGTAACTCTATTGAAAATATGTTTCTTCATATTAACTGTCAATGTATGCTGACAGTAGTGCATGAAACAGATAATATGTGAAAAAAACTCATGTTCCTCTGCCTCCCACCAGCGCTCTAAATAGCATTTGGAAGATTCTCCTGCACCGAAGAGAAACAGCCAATCAAAACCGAGGAGCTTCAAACACAGTGTAAATCACTGCTTGTGAACTCTGGTAAACTGTCAACCTAGGTACTGATCAAATATGAATAAGGATTCTGTAACTGCGTTTTTCTGTAACCAGCATGTTGGCTGGGTCAAAACGTATTCATTTCACAGCTAAACATTTAAGGCAAGGGATACACAATACAGTTACAGATTACTGTATCATATTTGATCAACGTTGCCGGGTTTGACAGTTTAATAAAAATGTACAAGCAGGTGTTGACACCGCAATGAAATCTTGCAATTGCCCTTAGGAGCACTGGGGGGAAGCAGAGGAACATTATCATTTTTCACATGTTATCTGTCTCATGCACTATTGACAACATACATGACAAGAGTTTTTTAAATAATGTAACCAACTGAAACTTAAAGCAAGAGATGAATGAGAATGACATTTTGATATATTTCTAAACAGTGGATGGGGATTTGGCAAAACTCTGGCAGGTATCTCATACCCACGTTGTGTTGAGAGAGAAAGGAGCTGCAGCCCGATGCTAAACAAGGGGATCCCAGAGGGGTTTAGGGGACGGTGGAGGGGCAGGAACTGAAAAAAATGCATTATGATGGAGCTGGTACCTGACACCCTGCAGGGCCTCCAGGTCTGTGGAGAGCTTGGCGCTGCGATCCTGCTCCTCCTGCAGCTGTCTCCGGAGAGCACGCAGCTCCTGCTGAGCCTCCACCTTGATGTCGTTGGCCACCACCACGGCTATCTGGAGGTCCGCCTGGAACCGACGCCATTCTTCTTTTTCATCCTAAACACACAAACATATGGATTTATACAGCACAGGCAAGTATAGAAACATTCAGGACATTTCATACAAACACAGGAAGTGTTTGTGGACTTGGGATTTAGTTCAATTTAGGTTCATTTAATCTAACGGATAAAACTATTTACTTTATCATGTACTTACAAAAAAAAAACTGGCATTTATAAAGGCTTCAAAAACGATATGACTATCATGGAAAATGACTGTGTCAATCAAAGTTAGCACTTTCACAGTCTTTGGAACATAGATATGTTGAAGTAAAAAATAACCCAAAACCCAAAAATCTGATTTTTTCTTTCCTAGTTCCTATGGCTTAATATGTTTTTAAATCTCCTACAGACACAAAACAAATCAGAAAAGCAATCCAAAGGGAGAGGGGAAAACAGCGGCTGTTTGCTTCATAATAATAACAACTGCAAAAAGACAGAAGAGAGACCTTGGCACTGAAGAGAAAAACAATTTGTAGGCCTACAATCAATGTTGTAAAAGCAGAGATCAGTACCATGTCGTTTTGTTTTTGGGAAAGGTCTCTAAAGATCCATTTCAAATCAAATATATATCTTTTTTTTCAGCATCTACTGAATCTTGGGTGCCCATTACTTAACATTTAGGCAGGACGGTAGAGGCAGTTTTAAAGATAACTGAAAGGACTGTACAAAATGGAAAAAGGAAAGTGGTATCTGGTGCATTCCAAAATGCATAATTCATCAAAACAAAAAAAAGCAGAAATGTTGTTAATGGATCAATACCAAAGAAAATAGATAGCTGCCTGTCTGAACAGCCCACCTGGATGCTACTGGAATCATACTCGGATAGATGACTCCAAGGTCATACATTTGGCAAAAACACAGCAAAATCCTGGCACTAGGCCTTAAAGTGATAATCCACCCAGAGAGGCATCAACACTTCCAGACCAACTTTCAATGCATCACTGAAACTAATCTCTGGTGTCGGTATGTTTATATCTTCGGTTCCAATCACTCAGAACTTCACTACAACATGGTAACTGTAAATGCACTGCTTCTGTGTCATGGTATAGATATCTCTAAGCTCAGACAACCTGGCCGAAGTAGAGCATTTTATTTCTTGAGTATTTATACTTGTATGACATGGTTGAAGGTTCAGAGAGAGAAGAAGACAGAAGGGTAGATTGTGTTAGAGAAGTCTGTCAAAGATAAATCTGATTTCCGAAGTCAAAACTGTGTTAGGACATTCCTTGTTTTAACTTTTGGAACTTTCTTCTATATTCTATTTGAAACATCTTTGTTTTGTTAACACCTATCATGTGACTTAAAGGGGACCTATCATGCAAAATGCACTTTTGTACGTCTTTTATACATGAATATGTGTCCCCGGTGTTCCAGGGAACTCACCAAGTGTCAGAAAACACAACCCTCTCTATTTTCCTCCATACCCAAATCTCTAAAAAAGGGGCTGCAACGGATCTGATAAAAACTGATCCAGATTTGAACACTGTCCTGCCGTCAGGACAGTGGAGCTACGGCTATTGGGCCAACTCCACCAATCAGGAGGAGACAGCCACGGCCATTGCCGTTCGAAAGCGCTGGAGACGCTGTAGTACATATGCCAGGCCTGTAGATGGTGCTGTTCTCAAAGAATCAGCCCTTGCAAAAACAGAGCTAAAAAATGTCAAATTGAGCAAAATGAGGCATGGCTAAAATGCATGATCTGTTTGGTATTTTGAAAAAAAAAAAGTATAAATATGCCTTATATAGGTATGGTCCTACACTATATTATTCAAATATAGCATGATAGGTCCACTTTAAGTCTGCAACACTCATTGATTTCAGATGTTCAAAAACAAATCATGTCACCACAGATGTTATGAAAGGAGCTACATAATAAAGCTTTCTTACCTTCATCTGTCTACTCAAGACTTTCATATGGCGGTCTGCTTCTACTTTCTGCTCCTCCATCTTTTTGACAAGATCTGCAATGATAGATACACGTTTTTTTGAGAACCACATGTCTTACGTATATTTGCATCAGCCATTTAACTGAATCCCTTATTTTTATATAAATATATTGATATAATTGTATTGCATATTCTTACTTTAACTTCTGATGTGTATGTAAAAAAAATGGTATTCCTTTAAAAACATTATTTTATTTACATTTTATTTTATTCTATTCTATTCTAAAATGCCAAAACTGTCACAAAAATCGATTTCCCCCAGGATAAATACAAGTATTTTGATTCTAATATATCCTACCTTCATGAAGTTATTGATTTAACTTTATGGTCGTTTTAGAAATATTTCTAATATTTTATGAATTCCCTTTGTACAAAAGAGGACAGACAAAATGGAACAAAAAACATCCAGTGAGAGTAACATACTCTCCATGTCCAGGACGGCTTGCTTGGTGTGGCAGTTGACGGCCCTCTGCTGCTCCACCTGGTCCTCCAGCTCAAAGATGGTCTCCTTCAGCTCCTTCACCTGGTTCTCAGCGTGGACCCCAACCTCCTCCAGGGAAGTCACCCGGCTGCCCAGATCCTGCTCCCTCCTCTCGGCCTGCTCCTGAACCTGCTGGCATTTGGCCTCCACCTGTGTGTGTGTGTGCATTTGTGAGATTATTATGAGTTAGTACAGATATAGTTAAAACAAAGTGGCAGTGTTTCATGTGAGAGTAATTGCTGGCTGTCACTGCACTAATTACATCAAAGCACTCAACAGCACTAAAGGCTCAGTAAGGGGAAATAATTTATGATATCTTCCAGAAATCATGTGGGGAAGTGTTCCAGTTGTTCTTGAAGGATTTAAAAGATGAGATATATAGAATCTGTCCTATCATTTCTTTGGGGGAGATGATTTAAGGCTTGAAACATGTTATGGTATTATTGCATTGCATCATTATTATGTTACTGCTACACATAATACACAGAAAACTCTTGGTGGTCAAGCAATAGATTGTTTTCCCCCTAGCTTCCACAGCTTACTTAAAGAGGTCCTTACATGCTTTTTGGGGTATTCCCTTGTTATATAGGTTTTTTTTGTAATGGTCTGCCAAGGCTAAAATCCCAAAGTTCACACCAGGGGGAGTTTCTCTCCTACACACTCCACAAAGTTAAGCACTGTGCTAGCTTAACCTTTTCTGACAATGACTATTTGGCCACAGAGTAAATACTGACATGAGTGGGGACTGTGACTCATTGAACTAAAACTTTACTGTGCTGTCTTTATTGGATGTGACTGCCTCAACATGTTTATTGCATTAACTTCCAATTACACTGAAGCTGAAGTCAGGGTACCATGTGGATTGCTGTCATTCTGAGAAATGACACTGTAGAGCAGATCTCTGTGAGCAGGGTATACTAAAAAGAAGTAATGTAGTTCTGAAGGACACCATGTGGTTCTGATGGATTAGGATGTGAAGTTATGGAATGGCCTCATCCTCACACCCATATGGCCGAGAACAGGAGCGTGACTCACAGGGTCACATACTAGTGGACCACCTTACTGGCACCACGATCACAATCCAACAATGACGACATCACTCAAATGACAAGGACACGCCTCAATTTGGAGTCAACAACCACGAACATGACCTCAAACCCACACAGCGTCAGCCTTTGTGGTGTTGGTGGTGTTTGAGGGGAAAACCAAAGTGATGACAGAGAATCATACGAAAACTATTTGAGGGGACATGAGTTAATGTGGTGAAGAAAAGGCCCCAATAACAGCTGTAAAGCCAGTTCAATGGTCAGGTTTGAACCCTTTTGGAAAAGAAGTGTGGTCAAGTTCACTTTCAATAGGTGGTGACAGAGCCAAGAATGATTACATATGTTATAGTCGCCTGGTTTAAGTAAAAAAAAATTAAATTATTTGCCATTACCCAACTAATGATACAACATGTTGGTCTCTTTTAAATCTATTCCTGAAATGGATTGTATTTTAAGTAAAAAATATGAACAAAATCATATTCTGTTTCTAAACAAGTGAACCTCTCTCTCTGCTTCTTTTGAATTATAAAGTAAATGTGGATGAAGAGATTGTTCTTTAGGGAACTCCTGACAATGTAGTCAAACTCAAGACAAAGAGCTCTAACTGACATAACAAAACGTTTCAACAGTGAGTCACATATAATTAAAGTCACGGTGTATACACACACAACAATAGAAGCAGCCAAGTGTAGATAGTTTGTACTGGGCAGTGACATTCTCCAACAAATGAAGAGATGTCAAGTTTTAAATAGACTGATCGGAATCTTTGCTCACAACATTTGTCTCCAAATATCGTATTCAAATAAAAAAAATGTCATGTTGGGAGATAAATACTTATTAAGGATGGGCATATAAAGAAAAAATGCTTTTCAATAATCCCAGGAAGATCTTTGATCGTCTTTTGGAGATCCCCAGCCGCTCCATGTGTCAGGGACATGTGTCTCCGGCACATCTTTACATCGAGTTCAGTGAATTAAGGCATCATTTTGACCAAAATGTTGGAACAGTGGAGTGGGTGTATTTATTTATATTTTCTCTCTCACTTGCATGAAGTGTGTTTTATGATTCTCCTCAGCTCAAACACGCACATACAAACACATTCACTTATTACCAATCCCTTAAACTAAGGCTCTGTTCTTGAAAGTTAAGGCAAATTCAATTTAAGACTTTTGAATGCCACTTGGAGCTAAATGAAAGCCACATTTTATTGGAATTTGTTCAATCTACAGATCTGCTCGATGCTATTGCAACAGGCATTTCATGTTTTTCTTTTTCTAACAGATGTTACCAATTATTTTCAGATTTTGCAATGCCACGAAAACAATGGCATTTTAATACAAATCTAATTCTGAGTGGGGAAACATGTAAATATACAACAAAGGTACAGTAATCTTATACTATAAATAAGTAATATTAAAATAAGCTTGTACCCCTCCTACCTTGCACATTGTGGCTCGCACATGCTCAGTGTCAGCTTGGGCTTCTAGCAGCTCCTGCCTCAGCTCCGTCAGCTCCACCTCCAGCCTGTCTCTCTCGGCGTGGGCTGTTTTCAGCAAGTTCTGCACCTCACTGCTGTCACCGGCACTCTGCAGGGCCTTCAGCTCACCCACCTTCTGCCTTTCAATGTCCACCTGTGCTTTCAGCCTACTGTTCTCCAGTCTGAGACAGTCTGCTGTGGCCCGCTGCTCCTCTGCAGCCAGTGCTGCCTGAGCTCCAGCCTCCCGCTCTCTGTCCAGCTGGGCCTGCAGCTTGTCCATCTCCTCTCTGACGAGGCGTACCTGGCCCTGGGCCTCCTGGTGCTCCTCCTCCAGAGCCCGCAGGCTGCCTGTAAGCTGCTGCTGGATGTCCACCAGCTTCTCTCGTTCAAAGCTCGAGCTCTCCACCAGCTCACTGTACCTCTGCTCCAGCTCGGCCAGCCGGGGCCCCTGGCTGCCCAGCTCCTCCTCCCTCTGGGCCTGGGCTTCGACCTGCTCCTGGAGGCGGCCAGCGAGCGCCTCGTTCTTCTGGACCAGCACCTCCACGCGCTCCCTCTGCTGTTGGAGGGAGGTCTGCAGGAGGCGCTTCTCCTCGGCCAGGCGCTCGTTCTCAGCCGTCAGCTCCTGCACCACTTGCTGCTGGTCGGCCAGCTCCTGCAGAGTGGCCTGCAGCTCCTCCGCTGTGCTGTGGTGGCTCTCCTCCATCTTGTGGATCTGTTCTGTCAACTTCTGCACATCCTGCCCTCCGCTGACTCCGCTACTCTCTGACTCTGACTGTGATGGGATCTTCTCAAACTCTGAGGAGTCGGGTGATGGTGAGTCCTTGGTGATGTCAGAACCGGAGGAGACGGAGGATTTCAGAGGGCTGGCAGGAGAAGAGCGAGTGTCCTGTTGTGGATTTAAGGAATCTGAGGGGAGGCCATTCACCAGAGGCTTGGACAGGGAGCTTGTGTTTGTACTAGAGAGAGGAGAGGCCTCCAAGAAAAGCAGCTTCTCTTTCAGTGTCTGGTTCTCCTCCCTAAGCGCTGCCAGCTCTCTCTGAAACTTCCCGTTCTTCTCCCTCAGCTCCCCAACCAGCACGATGGCCTCTGACATCTGTCCCTGCTCTACATTTGCATCAGGCTCATCCCACGAGACACAATTGGTTGATGGTGAAGAGGGAGCGCTGGAGGCTTTACTTTTGTAGCGATGCAACTCTATCCTGAGATTGCTGATCTCTAACTCTTTGGCCTTGGCCTCAGCCAGCAGCTCTTTCACCTGGGTCTCCAGTAGGCCCCTTTCCTGGCTCTCGGCATCTCCACGGGACTTTGTGGTTGAACTACGTGTGGGCTTTGCCAGAGTGGAGAGGCTGGAAGTGCTGGCACTGGAAACCATCTTTTTAGTGGTATTGCTCCTGAGCTGGTCCCTCAGAGAGATGCGGTCTCTTGTTATGGAAGAAGGGATCTCTCTAGGAGCTGGGATACCAGACTTCTTGGCTGCTTGTGCACCTGCAACACAACACAACAAAAGTACATATTGAAACAGTGTTCAGGACCAACGTGAATCCACATTTACTGTCAACCATTCACAAAGCAGTTACAGAACCACTTGATCAAAACTGTTAATGTAAAGTTTAAAGGGGGGACACTTCCTATGAGCCCCATGTCTATAATGCATTATACACTTAGGTATAAACCTTATAATCTGCTTATAGCACTGTATAAGTATAGTGATTAGGACAACATTTATAATCATAACACATAAGACGTTTTATAATTACTTATAAGGTGAAGATACCTGATTTGATTTCTCCCTAGAACACCAAATTAGCACTTAAAGTAGTAACTTATAATCATTGTATAATGCATAATAAGTATGAAACGCGCTACAAAAAGGTTATAAATGATTTCCCCATTTCCGTTTAGTCATAAAGGCTTCATCAAAATTCAAACTATTAAACTATAAAGATATATCTTTAAAAGTGAAAGAAGTTAGTAATAACAACTAACTTCCCCACTAAACTATAAAAAAAGTGAAAACAAATCAACTACATTAGTAATACAAGGTTAATTTAAAAAGGAAATATTGCCAAAATAAACATTTTCCAATAAGAATACAAGCATAAAAGAATATGGTAAAAAAAGTTAAAAAGTGTTTATTGTGTCACAAAACAATGTGAATTATCACATCAGACACACACTTTTGAGGGAAAAAGCATTGACATTAATACATTTAACATAAACACCCATTAAGAATGCAAACGTTTTGTAAGTGGGACAGTTAACAGGAAATGTTTGGAAGATAAAACTTCTCAGTAGAATAACCAGAGCACGCTTGACACTGAAATGGGAAGGTTAATAGAGTCAGCGTACAAACATGCTGTGACAGTGGATTTGTTAACAGCATGTAATGAGACTAATTGAATGGACACATTGTGTCACATTCAGACACTTGTATTATTCAGCAGTTTAATGTTGCTGGTCACTGTACCCTATTCACATATTGTTCTCTGTTTGGACAACAGAGCATCTGCCTGGCACTGTCTGTGTGTCGAGGGGTCATTCATCGCTGCAGCAGAGCTTAGCTCTGGCATTTTGAAAAGGCGTCGACGTGGGTCCATGGCCCGAGCCTTTTCCAGACCTCTCTCAAATATGAAGAGTATTTACAGATGCCCGGCGTGAGCAGGGTGCCGCCTGAAACCGTTTTATTGTGTATTTTCCGATGATCAGCAAACAGCGATGCAGACACAAGGGGGTTGCTTGTTCCAAAGGATGACAAAGGTCCCTGTGCACGTGGAGCACTCAGGCACAAAGCAGCTTAAGCAGTGCACAGACAAAGACAGCCCTGTGTCTCTCACATGCGTACATCATCATCAAACCTACACAGCAGAGACTATACAGACAGCCTGTGTGCTGAGATAGACAGCACATCACGCATTTACAACACACACACACACACACACACACACAAAATCCACAAACAAATGGCCTAGTTTGGAATGGAAATCCTTATACCCCTGTGGGTTCTTTAAGTACTCTGCCATTGATAGGCACTTTGCAAACACTATCCCCTTATTGAATAAACTAGCAAAAGTGGCAGGAGATGCCAACTGGCACCATTTCTGGGGTACAAAGCCCTTTTACATTTCCAGAGTGTGCAGCTGTGGTTGAAAGTGAGGTGGACTGTGGAATGATAACCTTAAATTGTTGAGAAAACAAATGAGGTTTTGATTTTTTAAGAAAACCAGTGGCTCATACAAATCTAAAGAATGACACTCTTGGTTAGAACTACTGCTGTAAAAAAAACCTCAAGCCTGTTTTGTTTTTTTAAAGGATGCAGCCATCTAGATTCACATTAAAAAAATGCAGCTTTTCACCCCAATCAATTCGATCCAGTGGCTCCTGGACAGAGCTAAAGTTAGAGCTAAATAAGCTTCAGTCACTTAACTGTTCACTTCACAGAGGATGATGCCATGACTGACAGAATGGGGACAGCATGCACTCCAAATATTGTGCCACATGGAAGACATAATCAGCACTGTGTGTTATACATTATTCTTTACTATGCACTACAGGAGGTATCACCCAGAGGGGGCCAAAATATATGGCACACATTTTAGCTCATGCTTATTTCATGGCCACTTGTATTATTGTCATTGGTGACGATGAAGACGGACAATCAGTCCATGTGAAAAAGAGATAAAGAAGAGTCCAAAGTAATTAAGATCAGTCTGTTCCCGTGAGGATGAGTGATGCCAGGAGTGGGGCAACCTTTCATATTCTGTTTCCTCTTGGGTGAATAAAACCCAGATGGAGCACATGAACTCACTCGTCTTCAGATCGCCCATGACATCACCACAGCTGCTTCACGTGCACACAGACATGACACCAGTCGAGATGCCAGGAGTGAGCACAGACAGCATGATCCTAAAGAGGAAGTAACAGCCACCGGAAAACAGCGGCCGTTATATCTTGAACCTTAATTCCCCAAAAGGAAGATTATAAAAACATAAATTCCACAGTTGGACAGACATTTTGGACCAAAAATAATATTGTTTTATCAAGCTCATAACTTTGCCACCACTGACAGTGTATCAGTGTGTCTCTAACAGATACAAATACAACCCCGTTTATTCAAAACCAGTTTCCAAGACCAACACAGCGGCTGCAAAGTCTTTATTATTTCTATTTTCACATCATCAAGTACCCACTTGGCCAGACCCAGAGCCAGCGAGCAGCATGGCTCTGCCAGGAACCAGAGGGTTGAGATTAGATAATGCTTAAACTAACACTAAGAGGGGTAGAGAGACATCAAATAGACCACCGACACCTACAGTTGCTAATTTGTGGATCACATACAGTAGGAGTACTAAAAACAAAACACCAGAAACAGTCTCTTTAATGTATTTGTCAAACATTTTGACCAATCTAGAAAAAAAGGGTGATGATGCTGCAAAAGAGTCTAGAAAGAGCGACTGAGACCAGCGTTTCCCTTCAGTTGAGATGTCCTTGAAAAAGGCAATTCACCTCTAATTGCTCTTCAGGAGCTGCTTAGTGGCCACCTGTTAGAACGTCTCCCAGGATAGAGTGTGGGTACGTGCACTTCTGTAAATTAAATTGTCTGCCTAAGGTTTTCCTTGATCGAAAGAAACAGAAAAGGAGCATTGAGGTATGTGACTGATGGATAACAAAAATGTCTTCCATGTACAACCAAGCCAAAGACAAAATCACAAAGAAACTCATCAAGAAAACCTGTTACTGTGAAAACAAAGCCATCATGTCTCTGGGACCAGTTGGACCTGTTGCAATGCCTTTATAGCAGGTGTGTCAGACTTAATTTCACTAAGGGCGTCTTCATATAAGGTACAAATGATTTGACTGTGCCTGAGTAAAATGTTTCCCCTTTCTGTACACCCCCACCTAGGGATGCATATCGTTGACTTTTTTACGATACCGATAACCGATACCACTGAACGATACCGATACATATCGTGATACTTTCATGTTGCATAAGGGAAACATTTTATCATCCCGCAATTACTCCCATGAAGCGCTTTATGATATAGTTAACATGTCAAATGAATATTAAAATTAATTGTGGGACTTCGACCTTTTAGTACTGAACAAACAATGAAAAACACGTTTGACAACACAGGCTTGAAGACTGTACATTCCTGTACTCCGATGTTATGTGACAGTAGCACATGTTTTGAGAAGTTGGATGTGTCCCAGAAATAAACTTCTTGCAGTGGTTACAGACCCCACCATTCAGACTGGCAGTCATATGCAGCCACACTTTAGATTTTCGTGCAGACATCGAGCTAAAAAACGAAAGCTAACCGAAATTCTCAGACGTTCGGGAGGAAGGTGAAGGGCGTTGCTTGCCAATCAAGCCAATCACCGAAGCCGTTGCAAGACGCACGATCTGATTGGCTGGCGGTTTGGGTGCGAGTTTAAGGATATTACGCCTAACTTTATTTTAAAAAAAAGTATAGAAAACCGGATCTGATTTCGGTACGGTATACCGTAGCCGACAGTAACCGGTATCTCGGTAATACCAGGAACCGGTATGCACCCCTACCCCCACCATTCAGCTTTCACAACTGTAATGTTATTCTGTACCCGAATACACGTGTCATTTATATGAAATAGACAAATATTGCATTCTGATAACATTTTATGAAGTAGTAGGCTACCACACAGCTAAGACACAACAACCTGTTTCACAGACCTCTATATATCAATCAATGGTTGTGTAGGACAGTTATTACAAACATATATATTTTGCATCCTGACCCGACACATTTCAATTTTGTTCAAGTTTTTTTTATTCTTCTTTAGCTACAACTTAAGTGTCAAGTAAAGTAATGTGATACACAATTTATTCAGCACTAAATCGACGCCTTGAGTTTCAAACATGTACTTTAGAATCACACTGACACCCTCTTTCTTAATAGCTAAAATTACCACCCCCTCACAAAGTTTGCACACTGCAACACAGAAGTCGGACTACTCAAAACAATGAAGTGGGTGTGGGATTTTCTTGTAAAGCTAGTTAGTATTGAATACATGTTTAGTGAAGTGAACTGGTTTTTGTGTCCAAGAGAGCACAATGATACATTTCTATATGGTATGGAAATTATTTCTACTGCAGGTGTGCAAATCTTTCTTTCTCAAAACTAAAATATCTCTTACCAAGGTTGTTAAGAGTTAGCTTAATTTAGTGATGTCTTTCATGTAGGCCGGCTCAGGTCTAGTACCAGTTATAGCTACCTCTAAGAAACACTAAATCTGAGAGAAAGAGTGGAATGGGCCATTAACTGGCTCACTAAGAAGCTCTCACCCTCTATAGCATATAATACATCCTTATGCAGCCTGCAGAGTCTAGCTCTTATTGATCGCAAAGGGCATACACCAGTTGTGGAGAAAGAGAAGAAAAGTCATTCTCAATAACAGAGTCACAGATGTGTATATTCAATCTCACAGGAACTGTTTTATACTTCTTCTAA